AAGGGTGGGGCAGGGAGAGGGATGCGGGGAGCCTAGTACAGTCCAGGGAAGAGGACTGTAAATCATATACATGCTCCCAGTTCAGATCCCATAAAGCTGGCTTCCTTTTCCTAGCTCTCCTTTTGCCAAGTCTATTCTGGTCTCCCCAATAGCCCTTTCCCCAGGAAGGGCATGCCTTGTGCAAGTGGCCCGTGCCAGTGGTTCCCCTAGGATTATCTTCCTCTGTAAAGGAATGTACCAGGATTTGGGTGGAGAAATCACTCATTTGTGGGTTCCTGGGAAAACTGAGGAGTCGAGTTTTTGAATAAAGCTGAGGACCAGCCGCTATGCCATGATGATTCTGCCCAGCTACAGTTGCCCCTGAGGGCCAGCCTCTGTTCAGGGCATGTAGCTAGCTGACACCAGACTAACTCCTGCAGGGCCTGCTCACTCCTCCTGTGGTACTCCTCTTCCACCATAGAAGGCGCTACAGCCAGCCTCAAATTCAGCTCCCTTCTGAATGTTGGCAAGCAGGCCTGATGGTGCAACAGTTAAGCTTTTGGATACCAACTGAGAGGATGGCAATTCAAACCCATGTAGTGGCTCTGTAAGAGAAAGATCTAGCAATCTGCTCCCGTAAAGAGTTGTTGTTGTTGTTATGTGACGTCGAGTTGGACCCAACTCAGCGAACCCTCCTTGGGTTGCCAAGGCAGTATCACTACTGAAGTAGATTGCCCAACCTTCCTTCCAAGGAGTGGCTGGTGGGTTTGAACCACCAGCCTTCTGGTTAGAAATCCTATGGGGCAGTTCTACTCAGTCACATCGGGTCACTATGAGATGAAATTTATTCAATGACACCTGACAACAACTGAACATTGGCAGGGTTGGAACAGATATCACATACTGACATCATTAATCTGAACATGATGACAAAGGTTGAGCGGTTTTTCTAAAGTCATCCAATCCACTGTTATCACTTTCGTTCCAAACCTACAGTTCTGAGCATTACAATATTTTTATCTCTCTATGAAAATCAACACTAATAAAAGTATCATGGTGCTTATGATGAGAGTCAAGTTTCAGCCTTGTGTGCAGGGAAAGGGAGAATGGGATGTCGTCTCACCACGCAGATGATTCAGAACTATTTCTATAGTAGCACAGTGGTGAGATCATGGTCTTCAGAATTAGGTTGCTTGGATCCAAACCCTGCTTCCATCACTTACCAGCTGTGCAACCTTGGGCAAGTTACTGAAGCTCACTCAACCTCAGTTTCCTCATCTATTCAATGAGGATTATAACAGTACATACTTCATAGACTGCTTACAAGGATTATGCTCAGTAGTGCCTCATACTTGGTTCTGGTTGCCCATGATTCAGTTATGACTCATTATGACCCATGTGGGTCTCTATGGAGTTTCCAGTGACTGGCTTTTTGGGATCCAATTGCCAGGCTTGTCTTTCAAGGCATCTCTGGGTGGATTTGAACCTCCAATCTTTCGATCAGCAGCAAAGCACATTAACCGTTCATGCCACCCAGGGACTCCTGATGCTATGTAGTCTTGGTTAGCATTGCAGAAAAAACGCTAGTTATCATTTTCACCATATTATTATTTGGCTTTGGAAGATATTGAGAGACCTTTTTATCTTCTCTGCTCTCTCCCCTACAAATTCTGCCACCCCACCCCCACCCCCTAGCATATCTCACTTGGGTTAATATTAATTTACTTTGCCAGGGTACATACGAAGCTTGCCAGAGAAAGGAAATGCAGACATAGCCTGGAGGGTGCAGATTAAACATTTGCTATGACACCTGTCAGCTAACTCTTTTATGTATAAACAAAGATTAACCTTAATAAAGCACTAACAACCCTCCCATAGCTTGCCAGAGCACTTCCAAGCCTCAGCTTGGTTACAAGGAGGGAAGAGGGGAGTCAACACTTGACTTCAGGACTTCCTTCTCCCTCTGTTTCAGCTAAACTTACCCGGCAGTGTCTTCACTCGGCACATGTAGGGGGCACTCTCCTTGGAGTAGTATGGAGCAATAATCATGATATTCCCAAGGAACTCCGTGTCAGGGGTCAGGCCAACGAACTCATATTCTCTCTGCTTCCCTTCAAGGTGCTGAATGTGACAGAGGACCCAAAAGTGATTCCTTTTATATTCCAGTCTTCATAGACCTCAAACCCAGACCCACTGCCATTGAGTCAATTTTGACTCATAGAGACCCTAGAGGACAGAGCAGTATTGCCCCGAGGCTGCAAATCTTTTATGGAAGTAGACTCCTCATCTTTCTCCTGCAGAGTGACTAGTGGATTTGAACTGCTGATCCTTTGGTTAGCAGCCACATGCTTTAATCAGTGTATCACCACAACTCCCTACTCTCCATGTAACCCAAAAACCAAACTGCTGTCGAGTTGGTCCTGACTCATAGTGACCCCTACTTGGGTTTCTGAGGCAGATCCCCAGAAACTCTGTTCACTCCTACTCCTGGGTTATCATGCTTGTTGTTGTTGTTATGTGCCATGGAGTCGGACTCGACTCATAGTGACCCCTCCTTGGGTTTCAGAGGCGGTATCTCTGTGGAAGTAGATTGCCCAGCCTTCCTTCTGAAGAGTGGCTGGGGGTTTGAACCGTCAGCCTTCTGGTAGCTCCCATCATGTTTAGTAAAACGGTACTTCCAGTTCTCAAACGAGAAACTGTGGGTCAGTCTGTCTTCTCTACTCCTGTTCCCCCGCCTTCTGCTTTATCCTTCCATCCAATCAGTCATGAAACACCACACCCTTTTGCTTAGAACAATGCCTGGCATTTTATACCCCAAAAAACCCAAACCAAAACCCAAACCAGTTGCTATCTAGTCGATTCCAGCTCATGGCAACCCTGTGCATTACAGAGTAGAACTGCTCCATAGGTTTTCACGCTGTAATCTTTACAGACACAAATGCTTCCGTAGTGCTGCTGGGTGAGTTTGAATCTCCCACCTTCATGTTAGTTGCTGAGAGCAAGGCATGTGTGCATCCAGTGTTGGATTATTCAATAGGCAAGGTAAGCAAGGGCTTGCCTATGCTCACTTACTAATCTGTAGTGAACAATTTCACATGTTTTCACCACATCAAAGGTTCTGCTTCTAGGTATGGCTGGCACCTGCCTCCCTCCCAACCCCATAGCACCTTCCTACAGAATCAAAGCCTCTTCAAATTTACAATCCCTGACAGTGGCAGAGTACCCAGTCAGTAAGGTAAGCATGGCTTACTTGTGCTTACTTGAAGCCCATGTGAAATGGTTCACAATAGGTTAGCAAGTAAACACAAGTAAGCCTGGGTTTATCTTGCTTATTGGGTAATCTGCTTATTGAGCCTTACTCTATCGATGCTAGCTGCGGCTATCATCATCAACATCATTATCACTATTGACCCCAGGGATGCAGTTGTAGAAGTTCCATCCAGTAGGTTGGAAGAGGGCCCAAGAACCTGCATTTTAAAGGTGTCATAGGAGTTCTCATTGCATTTGGTTTGGGACCATGTTTTGAGCAACGGTTGATCATGGTAGCTTAGTGCTTTCCAGAAACATACTGAGTTTTCCTGCCTCCCTCTCTGATCACTGTGGAACAGAGAAGACCAGCCGGGGCAAAAATGTGGGTTTTGAGCAGAGCTGGCTTTGAATCCTGGCTATGCTATTATTTGCTGAGCAATTTTGAGCAAATGACTTAATCTCTCTGAGCCTCAGTTTCAAGTGAAAAATGGAGAGAATAGCACCTTCTTCATAGGGCTGTGATGAAGATTAAATGATATAACATGCATCTATTACCTGGCACACAGGAAGTGCTTGGAAATTGGTACTGGCGCAAATTAAGAAAACTGTCTGGAGGCTGACATCATTTCCCCCACAACAGTCTTTTATAAGCTCCTCTACCTATAGATGTTTGAGTTCTTGTGTTAACTCCCTTCCCACCCTAGATTATAAACTCAGTGTGTATGGGAATCACAGAGCAGGACTGAAGTAAATATTCCGTCAATGGAATTGTGGATTAGTGGAATATGCTAGGGGAAAAATACCACATATAATTTTAATACAAAAGAAAATGGCTTTTATATAATTTGTTCATCTATATGCATGTCTTCCACTTATCTATTATCTTAAGGAATCTGCTCATATCCAGTTTCCACAAATAATGAAGAACCAGCAAAAAGAACTGCAGCAGTAGAAACTGATAGCAGCATTTCACAGAGTGGATATTTGAGCATGTTAATAGGTATAAGGCAAAAAAATAAAGTCTATTTTGGGAGCTCTGGTGGCGTAATGCCTAAGGTATCTGACTGTGAATCAGAAGGCTGGTAGTTCAAACCCACCAGCTACTCCTTGGAAGGAAGACTGGGCAATCTACTTCCAAGGCTGGTAGTTCAAACCCACCAGCTACTCCTTGGAAGGAAGGTTGGGCAATCTACTTCCGTAGTGATACTGCCTCAAAAACCCAAGCAGGGGTCACTATGAGTCGGATCCAACTCCACGGCAATGAGTTGTTTTTTTTTTTGTTGTTGTTGTATTTAAAAAGCAGAGTCTCTGAAAAAAAAAAATCGAGAGAAATTTTGTTATCCAAATGGAGTCTTGGCTCTGCAGGACTTCTCAGAGCCTTTAGCAAGTTAATCTACCAGAGGAAGGTTTTGGTTCCTGATGTTTGCTTCAGGGAGCCTCCCAAGGGAGGCAATGCTGATTTATATGACATGTCTCCTTTCTATTTAAAGCAATGCCAGCCTGATTGAGTGGGAAAGGGGATTCCGAGGCAGGGAAGGATGAGGGCACAATAAGCATTTACCAATTTGTAGGTGTGGTTGTCCCGGAGCTCTAAGCGATACAACAGGTCTTGGAAGATGTCCTCCAGGGTTAGCTGGTGGCCGTCCTCAGCGTGGATGGGCGTGGAGGTAGGATGGATGATCATTTGGACAGATCTCACTTTGGGGATACAGGTCACATCAGGTGGTTTGATGGTAGCTGGAAAAAATGGAAAAAGAAAAGAAAAAGTCAGAATAGGCCGTGGGCCTCTGAGGCTGCCCTGGATGATGGGAAATGGCTGCTCTGCTCTCCTCCCACCTCAACCCCAGCCACGCTTCTGAAAGCATCAGCTGAACAAACAGGAGAAAAGAGAAAAGTTCTGTAAGCAACTGGTGTTTGGGTTCAAGGTGGGCAAAAGATGACCAAGGTTGGGATGGAGGAACCCAGGAGAGCGGGCAGTGGCCCTCGAGGTCGATCGTGCCCTTACATTCACTCCCACACATCCCAGCCCCTCTGTCCCCACTTGAGGATGCCCTGGACACCCTTCCTCTCTATGCTATTGTCAGTGACAGCTTTCAGGACTGATGATTCTGCTACATACCCTAAATAATGCTTGGAGGGGTACAAAATGATCAACCCAGCCTCAAAGAGCAGACCTAAAATTTCAGTCTTGCCCAGTGACTTTAACTGGTTTACAGGTCCTTTTGCGAATCTGATGAATACTATGTGCAGATACAAAGATCTTGCATCCAATTTCAGGGACCCATGAAGGCCCTCTTCCCCTGCACCATTTATAAAAATGCTTCAAGTATCAACAGGCCACCAAGACTCAAAATACGTGAGCTAGAAGGATGTTCACTTCAGTGTTCTTTATATAATTGAAAAACAGCTAACTGTCTCCACAAAAGGAATTAACAAAGTAAATAAGAATCCCTCCCTAGAATGACTCATTTTACAGCTGTGTGATATTATGCTATGAAAAACTATTTAACGTCAGGGGGCAAGTGTGCATGACACCATCATACAGGGAAAACAAGATCATAAAATAGTAGACACAGTTGCTAGTAACTGTGGTTATGTTCGAATGTTCAGGTTATTCTGATGACTTCTATCTTACTTTGTGTGTAGCATAGTGGCTAAGACACTTGCCTGCTAACCAGACGGCTGGTGGTTCAAACCCACCAGCCACTCCTCGGAAGGAAGGTTGGGCAATCCTACTTCCGTAGTGATACTGCCTCGGAAACCCAAGGAGGGGTCGCTATGAGTCGGGGCCGACTCGACGGCAAACAACAACAACAACACATATTTTCCAAATTTTCTACAACAAACCTTTGTTAATTACATAAGCCAGGAAAAGAGAAAACTGTAATAGCTTGTTTAATTTTATTTTCTACTTACTTAAAAAATAATGTGAGTGTTTAGTCAATGGTGTACATCACTACCTGCTTAGTTTGTGTGTGGAGTTTGGCGGTTCATACCTACTCAGTAATTCATTCATTCACTTAGCAATTATGTATGGAACATCTTCTATGTGCCAGGACCTGTGCTACCAGCAGGGAGGACAGTAGATTCCACAGCCCACACACATCCCTCACTGAACCCACATTTTAGTGGAGGAGGTAGGTAATAAACATGTAAGCAAACATAATAATTGCTGATTGCAGTAGGAGCTATAAAGAGAATGAATAGTGTATTTCAATGGAAAATAGTAACAGGTGGTGATCTACTGAAAACAGGATGTTGGGGCTGGGAGCGGAGTTCCCGTCACTTAGGCGTGATGCTGAAGCTGATACCTAAGGATGGGAAAAGAGCCACAGGAGGAGAGCTGGGAAGGCAAAGACATGGGGGGCAGCAAGGGCCCTGTGGCAGGAAAGGGCTTGGTGTGTTCCAGGATCCATATGGCAGGGACAGGTCAGAGATGGGGATGGAGAGATCAGCAGGGGCTTGAAGTCCACTGCAAGGAGTTAGATCTTATTTTAAGAGGATTGGCCAGCCATTTGACCTCCATTAGGTTTCCAAGGTGGTAAATCTTTACAGAAGTAGATTGCCCCATCTTCTTTCCAAGGAGCGGCTGGTGGGTTTGAACTGCCAACCTTCTGGTTGACAGTCAAATGCCTTAGGCATGGTGCCACAAGTGCTCCTTAAGCAGGGGGTGAAAGGGTCAAATTCGGAATGCTCCATGAAGAAATGAGTTGGGAGGCTGTGGTCATGAGGTAAGATGAAGACAGTGTGAACCAGAGAGGTCGGATGGAGATGGAGAAAAGTGAGCGACACCCTGGAGAAGGCCTTCCCTAAAAGCCACCTCCCTAATGGCTCCCTGAGGCACAGAGTCACTCTGGCCCCTGCACCCACCCGCTCTGCCCTGTGTCCACTCTCCTCTCCCCATCCCACTCACTGTCCTGCATCAGGCCGAACCGGTGGCTTATCATGGTGGCAGTCTGGCCCCTTGCACTCATGGCAGTCACCCGGGCATAGTAGAACTCGTTGAGGTTGCCCGTCTCTGTGGTGAGGTTGCAAGATTTCCGGGTGACATGCTGGCAGCCCTCCTTGGCCAGCCACTTGCTTTCTCCATACCTGTAGGTGAGGGAGGGACAAGGGTGCCCCTTGCATAAGCAGGCTTATTAATAATGATCATGATTACCAAATGTTTACTTAGTATATCTGTGTCCCAGGACATTTTTGGTGGATGATCTTAATTAGACCTCACAACAGTCCTGTGAGGTCCATACATCTCTCTTTTTCAAATAAGGAACATGAGGCTCAAAGGAGTAAAATTTTCCTAAGTATCCAACATATGCCTATGGGGAGCCAGGATTTGAACCCAGCCAGTCTTAAGTCCACAGTCTGAGCTCATCCTCCCCATAATCCTTTGACGCAGGCATTGTTATGCCCATTTCACAGATGAGGGAATGTGTGAGGCTCAGAGAGAGGAAGGTAAAGTGGCAGGACCAGGAATGGAAGCCAGATTTGCAGACTCCTGAGTGCATACCAACCCTCTCCCCTCCATGGGAAGAAAGAACAAGAACAGGAATGTGGGCTGGGATGGGGTGGCTGGGGCAGACTGGGAGGCTAGGGGTTGGGCACAACTTTTTAATGACCCAATCTTGCCATAATAATAAAACAATTATTGATACCTGGTGGAGTGCCTAAGGCATTTGACTGCTAACCAGAAGCCTGACAGTTCAAACCCACCAGCCACTCCTTGGAAGGAAGACTGGGCAATCTACTTCCGTAGTGATACTGCCTCGGAAACCCAAGGAGGGGTTGCTATGAGTTGGATCTGACTTGATGGTGGTAAGTTTGGTTTTTTGGTTTTGGTAACCCTCTATGGAGGCACAGTGGTACAGTGGTTAGTGTTTGGCTACAAACCAAAAGGTTGGTGGTTTAAACCTACCAACTGCTCCTTGTGATAAAGATATGACAATCTGCTTCTGTAAAGATGACAGCCTTGGAAACCTTATAGGGTCACTATGAGTCAGAATTATCTCTATGGCAACAGGTTTGGTTTGGTTTGGAACAGCCTATGATGAAGGTACTATCATTCTCCTAATTTTATAGATGGTAAAAAGGGGAACTGGCAAGGTTACATGACTGCCCAAGGGCACACAGGCAAGAGTGGCATTCGAGCTGGGCACTGTGACTTGAGAGCCTGCACTTTTAACCATTATTTGATCCTCCCTCTGCAAACAAAACAGAGGAGCAGAGCTCAACTGGGAGTGGCTGTGTGGCTTCAGTCCAGGTGGGTCATGGGCCATGTGGAATGAGGGGATTTCCCTAGAGGGCTTGGATTCAGAGCAGAGTAGCTAGGAGTGAAGCCTACGTCTTATACTCCACGCTGTAAACCGTGTCTGAGGTGCTCCCTGGCCCGCTGTCCCACGTCAGGATGTTTTCAAAGTTGCTGGACTGGAATTTCACGTGCTGAAGAAGATTCGAGGCATCCTCTCCAATGTGGGCTGCAAGGGGATGGGAACAGGGTAAGCAGATAGACTATAGACCACCGTCCCCTCCAACTGCCTCATGAGAGGGAGGCGAGAACATCCCACATGCAGGAGGCTGTGCTGACTTTGTCTTGAAATGATTCACATTCTGTAAAATTCACCCTTTTAAAATATACAATTCGTGGTTTTTAGCATATTTGCAAAGTTGTGCAACCATTCCCATTGCTGTGGAGCAGATTCTGACGCACAGCGACCCTTCAGGACAGAGTAGAACTGCCCCAGAGGGTTTCTAAGGCTGTAATCTTTACGGAAGCAGATGGCTGCTTTTTCCTGCACAAGGGCTGGTGGGTTCCAACCATTGACTTTTCAGTTCACAGCTGAGTGTTTTAACCACTGCACCACCAGAGCTACTGTGCAACCACTACCACTATGTAATTCCAGAGCATTTCCATCACTCTAGAAAGAAATCCTATACCATGAACTCCCCATCTCCCTCTTCCCCCAGCTTCTGTCAAGCACTCATCTACTTTCTGTTTCTGTGGATTTACCTGTTTTGGGCTTTTCATATAAGTACAATAATACAGTATGTGGCCTTTTGTGTCTGGCTTCTTTCCTTTAGCATGATGTTTTAAGATGCATCTATATTGTAGCATGTATCACTACTTCATTCCTTCTTATAGCTGCAGCATATGGTATTGTATGGATATAGCATATTGTGTTTATCCATTCATCAGTTCACGGACATTTAGGTTGTTTCCACTTTTTGGACATTATGAATAATGTTGCTATGAACATTCATGTATAAGTATTTGTGTGGATGTATATTTTCAATTCTCTTGAGCATAGACATGGAATTGCCGTCCTATAGGAGGGTCTCTGGGTCCCTGGACGGCACAGTTTATGTTTGACTAATAATCAAAAAGTTGGCACTTCAAAACCACCCAGTGGGCCTGCAGATGAGAGGCCTGGCAATCTGCTTCTGTAAAGGTTGCAGCCTCCAATACTCTCTGTAAGCATGGGGTCACCATGAGTCAGACTTGAGTTTATAGTATCTCTGTATTTAATTTTTTGAGGAACTACCAATATGTTTTCCTAAGTGGATGCACCATTTTATATTCTCACCAGCAATGTTAAAGGGTTCCAGTTTCTCCACACCCTCACTAACACTTGTAACTATCTCTCACTTACTGCTTAACACAATCTGAAATTGCTGTCCTCACTCCTAGATTAGAGACATTCAACTAAAACACATAAATTTATGAAGTGCTCTCCAGTCCCCAAGCACTATAACCTCACCACAACCTGATTAAACCAAAAAACTTACTGCCATCAAGTCAATTTGGACTCATAGCAACCCCCTTTGGATCTTTATGGAAGTAGATTGCCTCACCTTCCTTCCACAGAGTAGCTGGTGGGTTGGAATCCCCAACCTTCTGGTTAGCAGTCAAATGCTTTAGGCACTGCACCACCAGAGCTCCTACAACTTAATTAGATGGTTGCTATTACTATACCCATTTTGTGGATGAGAAAAACTGAGGCTCAGAGAAAATTGTTTACCCAGCATCACAATTAGCAAGTGAGAGAGGTGGGGAGAAGCTGGTCCTGACAGCATTAGTTTCCATTTTTCAGCCTTGATCTTTGCTCAGTCACTACTGTTATGAAAGGACAGAAAAGGCCTGAGCAGTTCCAGTAAGATGGCAGAATAGGCAGAGACTGCACAGACCCTCTTCAACAAAGAAAAGGAGAACCAATTAACATAGATACAGAAGATAACCCTGGACCCCTGAGCCTTGAAGGGAAGGATATAGATGTGGACTAAACCCCAACTAGCAGAAGAATCTGCACGAAAATACCAAAAAAGGAGACATATGGAGCTGCAGTCTGGCAGCGATCCTGATGGCACAGACAGCTTAGATATTGCCGAGTGGTGATAGGACCTAAGAATTAACCTAAAAATCAGCCCTGCTAGCCAGGGACTGCATGGAGGACTGCTCTGGTGGCTGGGGAATAAAAGGCGAAGCAGCAAAGAAGACAGCAGGCTGAGCTGTGGACTTTTGCCTGTCTGGAGGATGCAGCCATTTTGAATGTTTACAAGTGGTTTGACCATTTTGGATATTTAAAGTGACAGCATTCTCTCAGATTCCAGGGACTTAAGAACAGGCTCCACTTGCTGGGAACCGCAAGGACATTTCAGACCTGAGGACTACTGGAAAGGTACGACATTCCCCTTGTTACTCTTATACCCCACACCCTCTTGGTGAACAGAGGTGTGGCCATCCCTCACTCCCACCCACCTTCCGGGCCAGCAGGAACTCCATCCCAGTCTGTGTGCTCGAAGGGTGACTGGGTGCCCTGCCTCATTTTTTTTTTTTTCTTTTTTCTGTTTTTTACTTTGTTTGTTTTTGT